GCATTGTTATTGTATATTGTACTACTTTATTGTATGGAAAATAAAAGTATATTTGATTTAATTTGATTTGATTTGATTATAAGATACTACTGCTGCTGCTGATGGAGATGATAAAGATAATTATGAATGATGAGTTGATGTCGATTATGATGATAAAAATAATAATGGTGATGATGATGATGATGATGATGATGATGATGATGATGATGATGAAGTAGTATATTTCGTACAAAATCATACAATCTTCAAAACAGCATAACTATCGATATTAAAATAATTATCATAAATAATTTATTGCAGCATACAACATATCTAATTTCTAAACCGATTTGGTGGGATTTAGAAACAAATTAATTTAAATTAAAATGATTAACTTTGCTTAGGTTCAAGAACACATTAATATTTGAAACTCCTTCAATGCCATAAATTAATTGCATCAAACAGCAATGAAGGCGCAATTAAATTGTTGATGAGTGTCTTGATTTTCGACGACACATCGAGGCTATGAGGGCGAAATTAATACCTGTCAAGATATAAACGGTTTCTCAAGATTAGCGCAAGCTTGGTTTCTATACAATCGCTCTACACGCTTTGCCGACAGCTTTCGGTGATGCTGATTGGTCGGTCAAATCGTGGAGTCTTCCCGATTGCGTCAGGAACTGCTTCAAGATCGGTTTCCATAGGATCGCTCACCCTAACGGCGACAGTCACCGACAATTGTCAGGAAGGTTGAACCTAGTTTGCATTGCAGACGAATCATTGTACATCAGGGGTGGCGCCAGGATTTGCCCGACGTGGGGGTGCCGGTGCCCCGACGAGGTGTCAGATTTCCCTGACGAAAGCAAAGTGGGCGTGGTCGAGCTTCGATTAAAAGGTTCCGAAAGGGGTCCTGGAGGCGAAGCCCCCAAAAATTTCGACAATTTAGGGGTTTCAAAGGCTTATTTAATCGATTTTAGAGTCTAATAATATGTAAAAATACATAATATTTTTTTTCTCCCCGACGAATTGTGCTTTTTCTCCCCGACGGGGGGGGGGGGGCAGCTCTCCCCGACGGTGGGCCCTCTCAACCTGTTGACTATCACCTGCTTTTTCCAAAGAGTGTATTGAAACGTGCGCATGGGTCATATTGCGCACGGGACCAACGGCTGAAGCGTCTCATCCAAAAAACTTGTATTCAGTCTTCCAGCTAAGATGTATGTAATTGTACCGGTGTCCAAAGATCTGAGAGAATTTCTACGGTTCAGCATACACACGGTGGCTGCACCAGTTTTTCCAATGACATGTTTTCCTACATCCCATGGTCGTGTATGACATCATATGAAACCAAGGTTTTTTTTTTTCTCAAGACTGAAAAAGAACTTCTCTTTTTTTAAAGCTGATGCTGATCAGCTGATTTT